AAATTCTCCTTCCATGACCTTTCTTGACCGCTAGAAGTGAATTGAGTCAAGTCATCAACTGTTCCAATGGGTCCAATACCTTAAAAAAAATCTGATCTTGGATACAAGGCTTCGTCAGTTACAAATAGAAGCATCGTCAGACCAATAGCCAGCGCCCAGTTTCCCCAGAGCGGGTTACCTAGTAAACCCCGCAGTCAAAAGTTTGACTTTGATTGGGCTCGAATTGGTTTCTGCTAGCGGCTGGTGAAAATGAGAGGCTTGAAACTTCGGTTTGCTGAGGCATAAACAACTGAGTAAGAATATCAGCCATACTATTAGTCTATCAACTCCACCTGGGACTGTTCGAGGTAGAATCTTTCATGATGATCAGCGTGTTGATTGTGTTGTTGGTGACGATGTTGAATCAATTGACTATCAGATATGTACGATACCCGCCCATGTCAAGGCTGGTTTGAAGGGTTTGACGTTTCATTGCTACGTAGAGTGACAGGGGAATTGACTGAAAGGATGAAGAGTTACCCACCCTACAAGTACCACCCTGTGTGGGTTTACAGCTAATACCTGTATGGTTATTCGATCATCCGCCCGTCAATCAATGTCCTGTTTGTACTGTACAGTAGCTGTTCACGAGATTGGATTGCTTGTAGCATCATCACCTCGGGTTTCTACATTTGCACATGCCATGGATGCACAACGAACGAGCCTTGGCTGTCTTTATACCTTGTGATGTAAAATCAAGATTCGTCGTCACTCTATTCCCCTTAAATATAATCCACTTTCTCTAACTGAGAACTTGTCGTGAACCCACCTTGTTGTACTGTACCTACATCAGTTACTTGGCACAGCAAACTTGGTACTTCTGCTACCTTTATAGTACTAAGGTTGCACGCGTTCACACTCGATTCTCACAGCAGAAAGGTAAGGTAGGCAACATTTTAGCTCAAGGTCAGGTACCTACCTACCTCCTAACTGGGAGCAAGCAAAATCAGCACAGGAACACCTGCGTCTGCGTCTGCAATCCTCCAATTGCCTACTAGGTACTGCCCTGCCTGTGGCGTCTGCTACCTAAATCTACCAACCACCAAAACCCACAATGCTACCTGCTACTACCACCACTACAACACCCTGTCGCCTGACCTGACTGGGCTCTTTCTAACTGACCTTGAATTGGACCAGTCATTGCTTACAACTTATTCTGCGAATTGCCTCGTTCGACTTCTACTGTCACCATCGATTCTGTATTCTTTCTTATACCCCCTTTTCAACCCAATCTGTATCGCGATCCGGCTCCTCCGCACAATCTGCCCTCAACTTTGTCCCCCGCGCCGCGCCTGGTTCGCATGCCTCATCTCTGCACAACGCTACATATACGCTGTCACCACAGCCTGCTTCTACGGTCGCCGACGCCGTGTGAGCTTCTACTGTTTCTGTAGTGGCCAATTTCTGCTTAAATTGGTTGGCTTTGGTGCTGGTTCTGGGTGCAGCCACTCCTCATGGCCCGCGGGTAGCTGCATCGTATTCTTTCCTCGTCGTCATTCGCATCCTCACTCACGTCGCCAAATCTCTCACCTCCCGTGCCGCCGTTGCTCTTCCTCCGTGTCGCCTTAGACAGCTCCGCCTCTACCGCTGACTGAACGATTCTCCTGCATCTAGCGATCATCGATCACCCAAGCTCATCGAATCGGAATTCTACCTCCTCCACCTCCTCCGTCTTCTTCGGTGACAACAGTCACAGCCTCACGGCCCCTGCGACCTACTATTGACTCAATATACGTTCCACCAAGACGCCTCTCTGTGTATCATACCTATACACTTATTGGCTTTCATTGAGAACGCCCCTTCCACGATACGAGCTTGACCGAGCGGTTTCGGTCCCCCAATTAGCCAAGAGACGTGATCATCATATACACGGCTGCATACAGCCTTCTGGCCTCGTTTGCGCCCAACGCCATAGTCCTACCGCATCTGGGCATTGCAGTTCAGATTGTTCCTAATCTTACATACATCTCCTACGCAGCACGCGTTGGCGATCAGCGAGGGAGATCAGGGGAAAGATTATCTGCGCATCGCCACGCCACCGTGGGGGTTGTTGTCACTCTAAACAGCATTGATTGTGACTGCAATTCGACGGCGTACTTGTCCCTGCTTGGCTGTACCACCACGGCTTGGATAAGTGTGGTTTCGCAAAGCTGTCTAAAAGGAGGAAAAGGTGAAAGAGAGAAACAAAAAAGGTTTCTGGGATCGGAGCCTGCATATCCGAGCCGCCTTGTGTGCAGTAACCCAAACAAAGTCTCGGGCTGTATAAGCTGAGAGGTGGATATTCCAGTTGTCGCAAGACCTTGTACTGGTCTCCAGACCTTGTATATAAAACCTAAGACACCATGCCGCACGAAATGGAGGAGAATAGCACTGAGGTCTCAGATGTTATGTCCGAGAACGAAGACGAGACGGAAACTTTTCTTAAAGAAGAAGACGAGAAGATGACCGACCAGAGCACTACCGAGGGCACCACGGAGGTCAAGAAGAAGTATGACCCCAAAGACCCTATGCGCCCAAGGAGGAAAAAGGCGCGAAGGGCCTGCTTTGCATGCCAAAGAGCTCATCTGACTTGTGGTAAGTGTTCTTGCAACGACCGAGTGCTGGCAATTTGCCCAACCATCATGACATGAATTCGTCTTCTCCATGTGAAGCTTGGCTCTTTAATCCATCAGTTGTCGGGGCTTTCGGCGTTTCCTTTGCCCATTTCAGTGGGAAACGAGTCATAGTTGAGATCGTCGTGCTTTACAGCCAAGAAGAGGTTTTTAACTGACATCTTTCCAGGAGATGAGAGACCATGCCAAAGGTGTATTAAGCGTGGCCTTGCTGATGCATGCCAAGATGGTGTGCGCAAGAAGGCCAAATACCTTCATGATGCTCCTCCAGAAGCCCTGCGGCCTGTCCTTGGCCCAAATTATAACCCCAGTCCCAATCCTACTCCCTCAAGGCCCAATGCTCAGCGCCAGAATTCGAATGCTAGTCAGTCAGATAGTATGTCTGCAACTGGCAGCAACTTCTTTTCTCAGGCTAGCACTACGACACTGCCGGTCTTTTCGACGGGGGCGCAGACTCCCGTAGGCATTGATAGTCTACCTTTCAACCCACAAACATCTCCGACATCCTTCCAGGCTCCGATCAGCAATGCGCACGCTCCAATCAACAATATTATACCTACCGGTAACATGGACTTCAACGCCTTATTCGATCCCAGCAACCCTGCTCTGTACAATTTTGACCTCGAAGGTCTGAATTTCGGGAGTCAATACGCCGGCTGGGAGTTTGGCATCCTTAACAAAATGGCCCTTGGAGCCGAGACACCTCCACGAGAGAACTCCCTGTCACAAACTCCAACCACCGAGGCCACTTATGCAGCTCTCTTCGGAAATGCAAATGGCAACGGAAACGGCTTTGATCATCCCATGTTGGGGGCCGACTTTTCGGGTATGGACCAAAATAACCAATCTCTATATGCCCAGGGAAACCTCCAGCACGGACTACCCCATGCTTATGCTATTGCAGCCGGGCCTACAAGTCTTGCCAGCCCAAGCACAGATGCGACAGCCAGCCCCCATTCTGTTGCGGGCATGGAGGGCTCACCAGGCCATAATTTTGCTGGAATTCCTACAGTTCCTGGCGCACAACGACACAGACCGAAGAGTACTAAGCCGAATCCCAAGTCGTATCTCGGCAAGCGACAAAGGGACTCTGCCGCTATCTACGAAAGTGTAAAAGAGCCGTATCCTTACACAACCGGGTTCCACAACATGGTGGCTGTCCTACGAAACCGGCTGCCCGGTAATAAGCTACTACGAATCGCTAAAGCCCTCGGGGAGATCCGACCGTCTTTTATATCGTGTACCAAAGATCTGACCCGTCAGGATCTCATTTTCATGGAGAAGTGCTTTCAAAGAACGTTGGTAGAATATGATGAGTTTTTACAGCATTGCTGCGCTCCGACCATTGTCTGTCGAAGATCGGGCGAGGTCGCTGCTGTCAACAAAGAGTTTATCGCGTTGACAGGATGGACAAAAGAGGTACTGCTCGGAAAGGAGCCAAACCTCAATATCAATATTTACAGTGGGCGTTCAACCAATGGGTCGAACACACCAGACAACAATGCTCAGGGAGACATGCCAACGCCCCGGCCTCAAAGAGCCACCCTTGACATGAGCGGCGGGCGGCCTCAGCCTGTTTTCCTGGGTGAACTGCTGGATGATGACAGTGTGGTTGAGTTTTACCAAGATTTTGCGGAATTGGCTTTTGAGGACAGTCGCGGCAAGGTACAGAGAAGTTGCCGACTCAACAAGTATCGATCCTCTCAGAGCATGGACATCAAACCCGACCATACTCCTCAGAAGGACGTACAGCCGAGCATCCTCAGTAGCCGAGTCACGCGGATTGACAGCGAGCACGGTATATCGAGGATTGAGAGGGATGGCAAGGTTGGGTGCACTTACTGTTGGACGATCAAGCGAGACGTCTTTGACATTCCCATGATGATTATAATGAATGTGAGTTCTAGCATGCTGTCCCTCAAGACTTTCTCCTTGCTAACTCAGCTCAGTTCTTACCGAGATATTTACCAGACCAAGGACCCCAGCAACTGGCAGTTTAGCTAGTTATGACTGTGGGCAAAACTGAAATACGTTCATTCTCCCTTTTTGTTGGAGGTTATTTTCTTTGAAATGAGATACTAGCCAGGCCTTTAAGGGAGGGCTACCTTGCAAGAGAAGGGAAAGATCCGGAGTACACGCTTTTGCATAGAAGATTAGCTTTGATGCTGCATAGTCTATCGGTAATGCTCTAAGTCAGGCAGATGGGGGTTTCGCATGATACCCAGGTAGTTAAGCAGATGTGAAATGAAACAACCATGACTTTCTAAAAAGATTCCAGCTCTTCTATGTTGCTATCTATCCATAACTCCCGTCCACTTTTTACCATGTTCTATTTCTCTTGGATCTATCTTAGGCATCTCGAAGTAACCACTGGACATCTAATTTGCCCTCAAGGTCTTTACCGCCAATAACACGTCCCTTTGCGGGAGCCCAGGCCTCTCGGGCAAGACTGTTCTTTGCAACCTCACAATCAAAGTTGATATCTTCAATCAGAGCCTCCAGACTCTTGTAGTCCTTCTCCTCACGGATGAAGCCGAGGATTAGGAGACGCATGGGCACGTCATAAAAGTCTGCGGTGAACTTGTGCAGCACATGAACCTCTGCGCTGCGAACTGTGTTCTTGTAGAAGGGGTTGTATCCGATGGACATAACCATTGGGAAAATGTGGAAAGGAGGATTAGCAGGGGCTCCGGCAGCGAGGAGAGCATCCTCTGTGTCAGCCTTGGGAGGTTTTTTGGATGAAGCCGATGGGATGTCCGGGTGTGTCGTGGGCAGAGCGAGAGAGGCATAACCGAAGTAGACTCCAGAGGAGATGTTGGCGATCCATGGTGTGAGAGCCTCGTCCACAGGGAGGTTGGCAGTTGGGATACCGAGCTAAGAGGTGTGAGTAAAATAAGTGATGCATGGAAGAAGACATACCTCTTTGGAACCGCGGCCGAAACCAGAAATCACTTTGCCTTCCATGTGAAGCGGGTAAGGGGCCTCAGGGCCCGAGTCTGGGCCGACGACTGAAGGACGGGAAGACATGATATGTAATCACAAACGATGATGTGCTCGATAGCGGGTATGTGTCACTGGGCTATAAATTATGAGTACAGTGTGTCAATAGGGTATGCTCCCAGGTGAGAACTTACTTGAGTAAACCCACGTTCAGTTGTGGTAGTAAAAGATGAAGCTCAGTGAGTGAGTGAGTGAGAAGTCGATAGAAGCTGGTGGTGGTTATCAGAGTCGAGGAGTGGAGTTGATGATGAGATCCGACGAATGGCGGGGGCGGGGAGAAGCAATGCCGAAGTGCGATGGGTCGGATGAAAGATCAAGACCTGCTTACTGCCTAGTAGAAGGCCTTTGATAATTATATACCAGCTTCAACGTGAACACTCATTCATGCAGGGGGGAATTACTGCATTTCATGGCTTCGTGGAACGCAACACAAGGTGTACAGAATCATAGACAGGGTTGTGCTCTGATGCCAAGAACCACCTTAGTGAGATGGGAACTGAGCAATTGATCGTAACCAATGATATCAAATCTATAAGGTACAAGTCAGATAAAGGACTGAGAATACCATTTACTCTCAAAGGTGAATTTATGTCTCATTTATGGGTTCCTCAGTGAAACACCTTTAGCTGAAGTTTTGATAGCTTCAAGACTAACTCACCTTGCGCGATTCTCTCGCAAGAGCCGTTGAGTTACAGAGGGAGGAGAAATTGCATTATGAATTAGAAATCGCGCAGTTGGTTTCATCCTTATATTAATAACTATTTGATAAAGGACATCATTAAATGACCAATTGATTCTGACAGTCTGCAAAAGGGTTGTACAAAGGTAGAGACAGTCGTGACTGTACCACAATATCATGTCAAGTTACCTACTCTCGCAAAGGTCCTACGCAGCATCCTCGGTCTTCGTCTTGTAGGATTCTGACTACCCAGCTACTCAGTCCTTCCCAACTTGATAATGTCGCTTCCACTAAGAATCCAGTATTTACTCGGCGCCTTTCCCTCACTCGCCAACTGCGCAGCCCTCACGGCCGCCTTCGCAATGACATCGGCATCCTGACCAAGAGTATCTCTGATACCAGCGCTGAGATAGCCAAGACCGTTGACTGCCCCTTGAGCAATACCCTCCACTGTGCGGCTGGCCTCTCGGTGGCCGAGGATCATACCGGGCTTGAGAATCACGGCTTGCTCAAAGTCGAGTTCCTTGATCGCATCTTCAACTCCGTTCTTCATTTTTGCGTACGGCGAAGATGAGGAGAGGAGAGACCGTGTTCCAGCGCTGGAGATAAAGACAAAGGTTGAGACACCTGCAGCCTTGGATGCCTTGGCGAGTTCGATATTGAGATCATGGTCGATCTTCCACTGATTGGCTATTCCGCCTGCCTGAGCGCGGGTGGTGCCCAGTGCAGAGTAAACGACAGATGGCTTGGGTGTGAGCCCTGTGAGCAGCTCTGCCCATTTGGCAGTATCGGCATCGACTATGGCATTGAGGTGAGGTGATGTCGCCTTGGGAGCGCGTCGAGTGATGGTATGTACAGGGTTGTAGATTTCGGAGGCCAGCATCGTCGAAAGGATGTTGGAGCCGACCAGGCCGGTAGAGCCGATAATGGCAGCAGAGGGTGAAGACATGGCGATTGGGTGAATTATTTAGTGGTTATGGTAGGTGAAGGGTTTGTACAAGAGATGAGGGTATCAAGATGAGAACGATAGTAGACAAGATACTCAGATACCTAGGTAGGGAGGGGAGCGGAAGATAACTGATTAGTTGAAACACAAGCTGATCAATTGATAGGCAGTCAAGACAGACGCAAGCAAGTATGTACAGTATTTAAACCGTTGGATGGAATACTTGGGGCTGAATGAATGATGTGACGACATGGTCCATGCGAGATACCTAGGGGATCAGCCACATTACACTGATAGACTGAGTCGACATGTGATAATATCGTATTCAGTCGAGTCAATTGCTCTATTGTAGAAGCTTCAATTCTTCTTCAAATCGACTTGGTCTGGCTGTTGTTGGATATACATTGTTAACTGATCTTAACCTAAGGGCCAAGCTTCTATGTAACGCTGTGAGAACCTAATCGTCCAACAGACTTTCTCTGCCCTGTCTGCATCTCAACTTTACTGCACAACTGTGGCGTCCTGCACTGTTCAAAGCTGGGGTCCAGTTCTCCACTCATTTCTTACCCCACAACCCAAGAGAGAGCTCGAGACTTGCGACATCGTCTCTGCCTGGGTCTGACCGTTACACAACCACGTCTTGATGCCAGCGCGCCCTCTCTTCTCCCTGCACAATATTCCTACTATCCTTTCTCGATATCTACACCAGCAGCGTACGAACAATCAAACGCAGTTTTCGAGGATTCACAATGGCTACTCAGTACGAAGGTAACATGGGAATAACCCCTCCTCAACCCCTCCATTCGATCTTATCGGTAGCTAACTCTCCATGACAAAGTCGAACACAATGTCAAGTTTGCCGAAGGTCGCCGCTCAGGCCGTCGCGTAGACATGTCATCATTCTTCTCCCTCCTCGATCAGATCGCCGAACCTTCAGGCAGCCAAACTCCTCATCACAACCCACACGCCACGCCCACCCCCGTAGATACGGCTGCTCTCTTCCGCCTCCTCCAGGAACAGCTACACCTGCTGCACACAACTGCTCCTACAGACGATAACCGAGATTTCCTAGAGTCTCTGATAATGAATCTCGAAGATGATATCAACGACCCACCCACTCGCTTGCATGGCGTGTCGCAAGAGTTCGTTGACTCAATCGACCGTGTTAATCGCAAAACCCTCAAGAAAGATGACGACTGCGCCATCTGCAAGGTTCCCTATTTAGAAGACGAGTATTGCCTAGTTGTTGAGCTTCCCTGCAAAGGAGGCCATCGATTTGATCTTGAGTGCGTTGGACCTTGGTTGCGCAGCAAGGGTACATGTCCCATGTGCCGTCAAGACTTGGGGAAGAAGAAGGAGGTCCCTGCAGTGCAGGATGATGATGAGGAGGAGGACGGCGACATGATGTACGCCTAGGCATTGGTGCGTAAGTAGTGATATGCATAGTCTGGCGTCGGGAGTTTCAGCCACTATGGGCTTGATGTTTTCATGGCATGATGAATGTAATAGTGATTACAGTTTGCTAATGCTATCCTGTCCTTCCCCAGGATCTTGGCAAATTATACACCACCCAACCATACATTTACATCCTCTCGTTGTCCCCGTATCGATGCTACAAACTTTTGATACTCTTCACCCTTTCGATCCAACTCATCATACATGTATTGGTCTTGTACCCAATTCATGTGATTTCCTGCCTTGAACAGTCTGTCCTGCAAGCTTTTCTGATCAGGCCCGAGTCCCCCCCACAGCACTCTGAGACGCCTTTTCCAGGATTCCCATTTGTCTCTAGGGACTACGCCCTGCCGGAACCACCAATGTCCTAGTTCATGTGTCCGTAACATTTCGATACACCCAATCCGAACAAATAGATGCCGGCCGGCTTGCATAATCCATTCACAGGCCCCACGGATGTAGACGTCAGCCATCCGGGGCTCGGGTGGTAATACATCTTCCAGCGCTTGTTTCATGGCTAGGAGGGCAGGCCTGTCATCTAGCAGTATCCCTTTGGCAACGAGACGAGCACAAAAAGACTGAAAAGACACCCATCCATCAGGCGTTCGACGCAGGCGAGCGTCGCTGGGGGAAACTAGGTAACAGTCAGTGTGGCTCAAGAGTTTTAGACGAAGAGCAAGCTCAAAAACCTGCCATTGCAAACTTCCTGAAAAGCCTCTTTCAGCTCCAGTAAGCCTTACCAGACATATATTCCCTCAGTAGCCTCTGGAATTTTGTGCATTTCCCCGAGGGCATCTATCGTGCATACAAGAAGATCAATGCGTTCATCCCCAACTGGGATCCGTCGAGGAGCTTCTCGGAAGACTTTCCAGACCGCAGTCCGGAACCTTGGATAAAAACCAGACGATGTGCCGTCGAGGTTGCGAGGGGCATGTTCCTACCATAGCTCGTCTAATTTATTAGCGAGCTCCTGCGCCTTGTCGTAAAGCTGTTGCTCCTTCGGAGTTTGGTCTGATCCAGCTCCAGACCGACTTCTACTAGACTCTGGTTCCTTTTGGTCTTCAGCTTCATCAACAGCTTGATCTAGGGTGCGGTCTCGAGTATTCAGAACTCGTTTGAATTCACCGACTATGTCGGAGTGTAAGTCGTCCCGTTCGTCGTCGGCTACCAGTTCTTCTAGGTCGATGCTGTATTGTGATGCTTCGAGGGTTTCCATGATGTTCGTTTGCTTGTTGAATGATATTTCTATCAGGGATGATGAATACTGAACTTGACTCAGCGTTATCGGATGGCTAGGTATCAAATTCGGAACAATAATGCGAATTGCCCAAAACAGATGTAATTTTGAGCTTGACAGGTGAAAAAAGCAAGGCGAGGTCTATCAGTTGGGAGCTTCCTTCGACGTTTGTGCAGTTGCTGGCTCACCACCTACCTAAGGTACCTACCTGCCTACCTTACTTGCGTATCTAAGGTAATTAGGTAAGTTAGCAGTAGCCGTGACCGTCCGTGCTATAGACAGCTGGGAGTTCTGTATATTGATTCATTCTCCTACTTATTGAGATAAAAAATCCACGTTTTTCAGAGGCCGAGGTTGGTGTCGTGGGCATTTTCATTCTTCATTATCTAGATATGCAATTAAGCCTCCAAGCTCTTCTTCTGATGAACGAATACCGTAGATAATACATTTGCCATCGTAAGGAGTACACGAGGTACATGTAGACACTGTTGAATTCTCGCTTCGTTTTCCCACTTCTTACTTGGCCTTGGGCAGATCTCCCTTCTTGGGCGCACTTCCACTTCCGCTGGATCCTCCCTTTGAGATCTCTTCTCCAGCACCCTTGGTCTTGATCGTTTTCTCATCGCCCATGGGTGTGCTAAGCTCTTGGTTCGCACCACTCGCGTTCAGGGCGTCTTCTCCCTCTCGACCCTTGGATTTGGTCCTTTTCCTGGTCTTGTCGGCAGCTTCCTCAGGCCGTGTCGTGTTAGGGTCAAAGGCGATGTCTGCGTGCTCAGAGGCAACTTGATCATCCGTTCCTGACTTTGTGTTCTCATTCACAACTGGGCGCAGAGATTCTCGGTCCTGATCGTGCTTATACGGCATCTGCAGGCGCGTTGTTGTGTGAATAGGGCGGATAGTGGTTGCAGTTGTACGGAGGACATTGCGAAAGAGAGACATGGCGATGGATATGGGTTTCTGGTAGAAATTGAGCTTAAAGCGATGTTATAGGTGATCTGCGTAGTCTTCTGAAGCAATTGAAAAATGAATTTGACAAGTTCTGGGCTTCCAATGTAGCTCAAATTGGAGTGATGTTATTTCAACTACGTCATCAAGCATCATACTCTAAGCGATCTCAGTCGTCATGATTTATTTGTACTCACCTTAGGTTGACTAACCTACACCATGCCTAGGCGATCATCGTGCAATGAAAGAACATGGGGGGTTTTCAATGCTCGTGGTTGAAATTGATACATAATTACGAGTCAAAGAATGATGGAGTAATGGTGTCGGGAATTCTTCATCATGACTATGGCAGGGCTAGAGCACTCGCTCCAGGTAACCAGGGTGGTTTGTCCATGGTGAGATATGATTTATTCAGACAGCAGAGGGTAGGTAGGCTAGAGGTTGACATCGAGTCTGCTGCAAACTATTTCATCTAAAAAATCCATCTGATCGGTAGTTGAACGATCATGACTGCCGTCAAGGTAGGATCCATAACCTAAGGATTAGAAGTCAGTTGACTTGCCGAATTTCGCTTGCACAGAAAACAACAACGAAATAAAGTTATCGACTGAAACGAGATCGCCATCTGACCCTCGTCGACAGAAGGATCGTGTCTTCTGATCAATAATACGAATATAACCCAGGAAGAAAAGCATCTCCCCGTATTGTTTCACAGTTTCGACCTGCAGATTGACTATTCATATCGGGGCATACAGAAGAAGAAAGACTGCGAGATATCGTCGAGAACTACTCCGTAGGCTTGCGCAACTTGCTCAATTACGCGCACCAAACTATTTAAACTGACCATTGCGATTCAGTTGAATCCTTGTTCTTCCAAATCTAGAACACAAACGTATGATCTTGACAAAAAATATCCGCACCGCCGATACGCAAGGATGAAACTAGGCAAACTAAACACTCAAATTGTCGTGAGAAATGCAGACCTATGCAGGCGGCGTTGCGCCTCAGTTGTTAGATCACCGGCAAATAGGATAAATGGCACCTCGATGGGAGGAGTAGACTCCTGCTAAATGCCATTCAGCCGGAAGAAAGAGGCATAATATCGGAGAAGTGATTCTTTGTCTATACCAATATTCGATATAAAATGCTTCTTGGCCGGCCGCGGCATTGCCCGAGAGGCGTTTTCCAAGCCACTAACGTCTTGGAGCGTTTGTTCTAGAACAATTGAATTTTGTTTTCATAGAAGCAACAACTACATAGTTAAGGATGCAAAGAAGCCAGTACTACACGTGGTTTATCAAACGAGGTCCGTTTGCTGAGGCGATGGGTTTGACTGTAATAGAAGTCAAAAGGAGACAGTTCGAGTTGACGTTTGGAGAAATGCCCGGGGATCAACCCTGCTGAAGGTTTGATAGGAGGGAGGAGTTGTCTATCGCCCTAAGCGAGTATCAGCTTCCTCCGTGTTCATGCAGTGGATTTGAAATCACTCCATCTCCAGGTTTGGACTTGATACCTACTCTACTCCGTAGGTAGGTATGCTAGTATGCAATCATGACAAAGACTTCATCGAGCTAATAACACGAAAGACTTTGAACACGGCTGCGGCGTCAAAGAATAGGAGGATCAGCAAACATATGTCGGCTTCTGGAACGGTATCAGGGACAGGGACCGGGGCAGCAGACGAACGTCTTCGGCAGCCTTGTGCCTGTGATGACGTTCAGAGGCTGGAACATACAATATATAGCATTCATCCATACCTAACTTTGCAAGTACCGCCGAGGTTACAGGATTTGAAACACGGTTGAGGCACCTCCCATCTCTGTGCACCCGGCACCTCACCTCAGCACCTATCCGCCCGTTAACTAGCTCCCAGGGGACCTTTTGAATGCTGATGCGGCTGCTCCAAAATGAAATTGGTTGGCTGGCCTGCTGCATCAAAGAGGCGGCGCCGTTGGAAGCTGGAGCAGGGACCCGAGATGGTGGTAATGGTACAACAACTACCTGTTGGTGCTACAGCTGCTTCTTTGCTTTTTTCTTAGGTTGGTGTAATTGGCAGCCCGTTGCGTTGTGTCCACCGTCCAATACGATCCAGCACCTTGGCAAGGGATCGGTGTAAGTGAGATATGTGCAATTTGCACCTACGCACCATGATATTGCGATACTGCAGAACGCATTATCTCTGACCTGTAAAAGCCTCCAAGCAGCTGTATTCAGCTCCCCTATATCAGTGCCTCTCTATGAGCAGTGAGTAAGTGAAAGATACGTCAGTCCTAACATGGCAAACAAAGCCGGTCTATGTGCATCGGAAAGCGGCAGGCCAAACTAGCCCCGGTTTGGCTGCTTCATTATTAAGTCATAAGGGACGCCACAATGTCCCTTTACACGACAGGTCACCAGTTGCCGACTGCGGGCATCTCCGTCGCTTATCTGCACATGAACGGCGTTTGCAGAATCCAAACCCAACTCATAACCGAAGGACTCATGCATATGTAGCGGTACTGGACCGTCTTTGTGTTATTAGCATGTGAGCCGAAAGAAGCCTTCCAGAACGACGTTAGGGTCACACAAGCACAAACCAGTGGAGGCCTGTTTGTGAAGCAAACATACAGTAGCCGCTCTCGTTCATGCAGGGGCCCGTCCTCCAGATGAGATCTGAGAATGCATCATCAATGATCAACTGGCTGGATAGTTGCAGTAGAGAGTTGCCGATGCTGGTTGGTCGGTCACATAGGTAGTGATGTTAAATGACCCTGTCAACCTTGCGACCAACAAGAACTATTACTCCACGTCTCCGTCTCCGTCTCCATCAATCCCTAACAGAGAGAGTAGTTTGATCGTCGTGTGTCAGCTTCTACCCTAGTCTTTTCGTACCTGGCCGCCCGTCCGGCCTTTGTCGGGTTTTCTAC